AAAGAATTTAAGGATAAAAGGAAGAAAGTTCAAAACCCATTTATTTAAAACCTTCAGAGCAATTTTCAATGACATGTACCCATTAAACTCAGACCAGCAGAGTCTAGTCTGCTATGAGATAGTCCTTTAAAACATGTAAAACTTGATCATGAAATTAAAAAAGTTAAACTCATATGATAAGTAGCAAAATTTGTCAACCATACAATTTAGTGAGGCAAAAATTCAAATCATGGGCCCTTCCAAAACATATTATCAAAGAACAAAGCTATGGGAAAAGGGTTAAAAGACGTAGACACACTGGATTAAGTATTAACAAAAATTCCCAGAAAACGAAAATGGAAACAGTAAGATTATTCTTAAGAATGAAAATATTGTTAGATACTTTAGCCTAATTGCTGTCAGCTAGGAAATAAAGGGTTAGTTTCTGCTAGTTCTCCAGAAAATAATTTCAAACTCAAAGTTTTATACCTGGCCAAGTTGTCTTTCATGTAAAAGCAAAATGAAATATTTAGGCATACACAGTACAGAATACTCATTAACCATAGCATGTTCTGAAGAAATTACTTACACATACTCCACTAAAAAGATTAATAATGAAATAAAGCGGAAGATATTAGACATTACAAAGTATAATAAACAACCAGAAACTAAAGAAAACACTAAGTCATATAGATAAAACAAAATAATTTTTGATAATATGGCTTTGAAACAATATAATTGTCAGATAATACATTAAAAGTTAACTAAAATAATGTAAAATTCTGGATGCAATTTGGAAGTACAATTACAGTGATTCAAATAAAATACAAGAAATAAAGTGGAAAAAAGTAAAAGCATGTTTTATGGTTGAGAACACTGGTATGGCAACTATATGTTGAATTTAAAAAGTTTGCTTCATATGTAAAAATAATGACTAGAAAAATACAAAGCATCTGTCAGTATATCTTTCTAACCATTGTTAGGGGGAAAACAAATAAAATGCAGTCAACTGAAGGATATGAAAGAAAGAAAAGAAATAAAATTGTGAAATGAAATGAAATGAAATTGTGAGATGAAATGAAATGAAATTGTGAGATGAAATGAAATGAAATTGTGAAATTATGGGCAAGTAGTCAAACAGAAGTAACAAAGTAGTATGATTAAGCCCAAACATATCAGCAATACATGTACCGAACATCAGTTTGGTACAATGTTTGGATATTTTATTTTGTTAACTCATCAACATGAAAATAACTTTAATTAATTCACACTGAGTTAAAAAGAACACCAATGGTTCTATCAAAATGTAAAAGATACTTTTAAAGTTTGAATGAAACATCATTCAACTAGTATAAGCATCTGAATGGAAAGAAAGAAATGTTGTCCAAATTATCAGTTTATATAATATTTCATTTTATATGTTAATGAAGCAGAGGTGCTGCTAAGAATCTAATATTAAGAGGTAAAACATGGATTTAGAGGGTTTCATTTAGCATGAAATTACTATGATTAATAATTAAAAAGTTACATTTAAAAAGTTAAATTTTTCTTCCAGGCTGTGTCTACAGTTCTCATCCTCTTCAAAGAACAAAAGTTTACAATCTTAATGATTCATTATCTAGCTAATGTTTTTGATTTTAAGAAATCTTATCCTGACACTGGAAACTAATGATATCCTTTTCAGTAACATTTTTATTATAGATTTGTGTTTTAAATTTAAATGTTTCATCCATTTGAAATTAAACATTTTAATGTAAGGGGTGGGTTTAGCTCAAGCTGCATATTTTTTTGTTTACAGATATCCAACTGATCCAGTGTCTTTTTTTTTTTTTTTTTGCAGGTCATGGGGCCTGAATTCTGGGCCTGGGCACTGTCCCTCAGCTCTTCAGCTCAAGGCTAGCACTCTACCACCTGAGCCACAGCACCACTTCTGGCTTTTTCTGTTTATGTGGTGCTGAGGAATTGAACCCAGGGCCTCATGCATGCAAGGCAAGCAGTCTACCACTTAACCAACTTCCTAGCCCAGTATCACCATATTTTGAAAGGCTTTGTTTTCTCTGTTGAATTGCTTTTATATGTTTTTATGGATGTTTTTGTTTTTGTCATTATTTAGCTCATCATAGTTTTCATTTACTTGAAATTTTGGCTAAAGCCCATAAATTATTTAGATTTATATTTTTCAGCTGGGAACTGATGGCTCATGCCTGTAATCCTAGCTATTCAGGAGGCTGAGATCTGAGGATTGAGGTTCAAATCCAGCCTGAGAAAGTAAGTTCATTACACTCATCTCCAATTAACCACGAGAAAACCAGAAGTTCAGCTGTGGCTCAAACTGGTAGAGTGCTAGCCATGAGCATAAAAATTTAGGGACATCACTCAGGCCTTGAATTTAAGCCCTATGAAACACCAAGAAAAAATATTTTTATTATGCTGTAGAGGGTAATTACTTCATTAGATAAGGGGTATGGCTTGAGGGCATTGGTATCTGGCAAGGATAAAACTCCTGGCTTCTCTGAAACTTTGGGAATTGGAGTTTGGGATATTTTATTACAACCTAGTATCTAATGGTGGCAATCTAGGTTTTCCATTTACTTGGGCTTTGCTGGAGTACTTGAGGTTGTAGTCTCAACTTTGTTTCTGCTTTATTAAAGTAGAACCATTACTGCCAACATTTCCTTGTCTTTCTATGAAACTCTTTCTCTTAGTTTTTAGCTTGTGAGAGTGGCCTTTCTTGGGACTTATATGTCAGTATCTGCTGAAGTATCTGAGTAGTTGTCTTCTCCAGCATCTAGTCTAGAATATACAAGGCAAAATAAATTTTAGTCTTTACTATTATGTTGCTCTTTATATCTCATTGTCCATAATAGTCTATCTTCTTCTCTGTACTTTTCATCATCTTTATGTGCTTTTGGTATATAATGTTCAAGATTGTACTCATGTAAACTAGAGAAAATATCTCTAGCTAATCTTCTTGGAAGAAGCCTAAATAGAAGTTTGTTTTAGCCACATGCCTGATTATGCCACTTCTTGCTTATTTCCTTGTTTCCTATAGCTTTTAGAATACATTTTAAAAGGAATAACAGAGACATATCCCAGTATTGTTTGATCTTGCCATTTAATACAGGATGATTTGAATATCTTTCTGTACTCCAGTGCTTCTGGCTGTTCTGTCTTATGTACCATCTTAACAACTGCTACTGAGAATTTATTTGTGTTTGTTATTTTCTCCACTTTAATTGCTCCATCTCTATTCACTTCCCCACATCTCCATGTCCTTCACCTAGGTTCCATATGATCTTCCTTCACTTTCTGATATATTATTTCTTCAAGCTTACTTTTCCTGGTTGCCTTGCCTCCTCCATCAATGATGAGACATGTAAACAATTATCAGGGTTCTTGTTATATATTTGTAGAACTGAGTAATTCATTTTGAAGAATTTAGTTACATTCATAATGACACCCATCTGTACATGCTTTCTTTAAAAAAATCAGCATTTGCATGCACTATCAAAATAAGAACTATGATGGTCCATTCAGAGCTTCGTGTCACTACTTTTAGGAAAATATATATTATTAAGAGAAAGTTTCTGTGAGCTAATAGCATGTTAGTTACATAAAAGTAAGTTCATTTGATGCAGAGTCTTTGGTTTGGACATTCAGGATGGAATAAATAAAATTTTCTTTTATTTTTAAGTGGCTTCCACAATCCATCCCTTGTAATAGTGAAAATTCATGCATGGAAGTACCATTTTATGGGTCTAACATCGGGATTCATAGGTTTCTACACACTCTCTTGCTTATACACATATGTCCACTCAAGTACTTAGACTCTGCTACATAAGCTAGACTGATTTGGATTTTGAACATAGCTGCATTGGGAAATACAGGGATGCAATTCTATTCTCTCATTATAGATGGTGCCTCTGGCTAGAACATTAACTCAGAATTTTTGTACTGCAATGTCACTTTCAATTAAATTAAATATTGGTGTCATTCAATATTTGAGTTTTATTAAAAGCAGGATATGCCCATTCTTATAAAATTCTCTACATTGTTGTGTGCATTCTTTTGTTAACATCAGGATTATTTTCATTTGAAATAAATTCTTTGGGGGGTAGAAATTAGATGGAATGCTTCTGATTTCAATCATGCCTATATAAACTACCTAATCAAATTCATGTCTTCTTTTATTAGTAGGATTGTTTTTAGCTCAGTGAGAACAAGTAATGAGTGATATGTTTAGTTTAACTATAGCAAATTAAAATTGCTGTCCCGTGCAAATATAAAAACAAAAAGTGTAAGTCCTTCACAGGAAAAAGGAAAATAGAAATTTTCACAAAATGATAGCAAGAAATGAGATGAAAAAGTAATATTTTCCCCAAACTCTGTTCATTACATGCCAGGCAACAATTCTGCTGCCATATTTTTTGTTTGTTTAATCACATTGCCACTCTTTATTTCATGTAGGTAAAAAGCACACCCCAGATTCTCCTATGATAGAAATTACAGCAGGAGACAGTTAAGATAAATAGGGTAAGTTCAGCCATCTATCTTTATCCAGCCATGCTTTGTGAATTTAGCATTTGTTTGTAGCATTCATTTCTTCCTTAAAAATAAGAAAAAATATAATCCATGGTATTTTAAGTGTTTATGAAACACATGCTAGGATAGCCAACTATTTTCATGTACTTGTATTTATAGGCTACCTTTGGTTAGTGATTTTTAAATTATAAAAATAGTATAAATACATGGTAAAGTATTTATAAAAATATTCAAACAAAATAGAAGTATAAGTAATAAATGGTGAATATTGTATTATTTCTTTTTCTAAGGTGAATAATTTAGTGTACAACCTTCTAAACTTCTTTCAGTAAATGTACACAATTACCTTTTATAATTTTGTATGAATATTATGCACCAACTAGAACAAAGTGAATCTAAATGAATGATTGTGAAAGTGTGGTCTCAATGTAATCATAGTAGAAAAAAAGTGACTACAGAAATATTTGTACAAATTTTACCGTCAAAATTGAAGAATTGCTTTCATCTTCATTGTTATCAGAAGACCTAATGGAAAGAAAAAAGCAAGTCTTAAAATTTAGGAAACTATGACCCAGAAATCAAATTCACAAAACAGTACAAGTTTAAGACATGATTTCAAGAAGGCAAACACCCATTATTATCTTCCCTGCAAAAGTTCAGGTGTAAATAGAAATAAACTGTTATGTAGTTATGTATAAAATCAAACCTTAGAAACAATCCTGGGCCTGCCTTCCACACCAAATTAGACCTGAGTAGAAAAACCTTAACTGAGCCACAGACTTGTGAAAAAATTAGAAAAGAAATGGAGAGGTCGGCATAGTGGCTCATTCCTGTAATCCTAGCTACTCAGGAGGCTGAGATCTGAGGATCATGGTTCAAAGCCAGCCTGGACAGGAAAGTTTGTGAGAGCCTTATCTCAAATTGAGCACAAAAAAGCCAGTAGTGGGAGCTGTGGATCTTGGGGTAGATCACTAGCTTTGAGCAAAATGTCTCAGGAACAGTGCATAGGCCCTGATTTCAAGCTCCAAGCCTAGCACAAATTTGTGGAGGGGAAGGGAAAAAACAAATCGTTTAAATAGGGATACAGGTGGATCCATTGCAACAATGAGATGTACAAGTCATTATGTGGAAAAACGAACTTTACAAATTTGTTAGGGGGGGAGGAAGATTGGGTAGGGGAGTGGGGGGAGGATGGGAAAGGATGGGAAGGGGAAACAAAGGAGGAGGCTACAATGCTTGATAAGAAATGTACTCATTATCTTGCCCATGTAATTGTAACTCCTCTGTACAGTATTTTCACAATAAAAAAAAAAGAAAAATAGATGAAACAAAATGGAGAGAGAAAAGCCTGGTGTTTTGACATATTACTCTGTGTGTGTGTGTGTGTGTGTGTGTGTGTGTGTGTGTGTGTGTGTGTGTATGTGTATGAGTTTCTTAAAAGAGAAAAATTATCCCACTTGTCACATGACTTGAAAAGCATTCAAGAATCTCTAGTGATAATTTTTGTTAAAAATTAATATTGGACAAAATGTGTAAACAGCAAATATTCACTTCTTTAATGACAGTACTATGAATATGTGCACTTAAATTAAGTTAAATAATGATTAATCAATCATTTACATTCAATGGTAATAAATTAATTGGGTAAGAATAAGAATAGTCAATGGAATAATGTAATGCAAGCAGAACTTGGTGCTGTATATCAATTGTGTTATATACCAATTGTGTAAATATTTGATGGTAGTTCATATCATCAACTTGTAATTAGATAATATTGTTTACCAAGAATTTTCTAGTATTTAGAAAAAATATAAAATGTTCACTTCTCTTTTAGAATATAGGCTGCTCTGCTCACAAACAGCACAGTTGCAATGATATATCTAGGCAGGTCATAAAATATCTCATAATTACAATGAACTCAAAGCATCTTCACAGCCAAAATTTAAATATTATTGAAAATGGCCATCCTCAGGTTACATATTTTTATGACTCATTAAGACTTTGTGAAACAAGGGTATAGTTTTCTGCTCTATTGTAAGATTTGGTCATGAGATTTCCTCTGGTCAACGAAAAGTGACCGGTATTCTGCATCAAAGTTTTAAACATCTGATACAATTTGGCCTCTTCGGTTCCTTCCATCTGCCATAAGAATGCTGCATCTCATGTAAGTGGTAGTTTTCCTTGTTAGCTTGGGTCATAAATTAAGAGTAATTATGGGGTAGAACTGGAACCAAACTAGACCTGAATAGAGCTACTTTACTGAGCCACAGACTTGTGAATAAAGAATATTTGTGTGTGTGTGTGTACTAGTACTGGGACTTGAACTCATGGCCTGGGCACTCTCCCTTAACATTTTTGCTCAAGGTGGACACTCTAATGCTTGAGCTACAGTTCTACTTTTGGCTTTTTATTTTTTCCTAGTTAATTGGAGATAAGATTCTCACAGACTTTCTTGCCTGGGTTAGTTTGAATCCTGGTTCTCAAATCTTAGCCTCCTGAATAGCTATTACAGGTTGGAGTCATCAGTACCTGACTTTACTTCTGTTTTAAATAATTGAGATTTGGGGATCATGTTACATAGCATGATCACAGTGAAAGCTCACTGGTAATACCTACTTTATTAAACTCAGAGTGTCAAATGGGCGAGGTTCTAATTAATATCTATGAAGTTTTGAGGTAAATGATAAATCAATATCTCTTGAGTTGACTATGTGAATTAAAAACTAAATTTAGAAGCTAGTGTGTCTGCACCTTTCAATCATTTGTTTTATATTAGAAGGTTTATCAAGAGTTAAATGTTTATACTACAGATTGTTCATTTTAAGGCATTTTTTAAAATTTAATTTTATTTTATTTGTGAACATACTGTACAGAGGGGTTACAATTACATGGGCAGGATAATGCGTACATTTCTTACCAAGCATTGCAGCCTCTTCCTTTTGTTTACCCTTCACATCCCTTCCCAGCCTCCCCCCTCCCCCCCAATCCCAATCCTTCTCCTTCCCCCCCTTCACCCCCCACCCCGCATCGACATTGTAAAGCTCTTTAAGGCATTTTAATATATGAATAAAATGGTTTCTGTAAAATAGAGAGGTTCCTTATTATTATGCTAAACAATGCATAGTTTTAGTTCTGCTATATTTTCCATTTCTTCAGGAGGAAGATAAGATTTTTCTGAGATGGCTTCACAACAAATTTATTCTCTAAATTGAGAGCTTTGACTAAGCATGATGCTATGTACCCATCATCCTGACACTCAGGAAGATGAGTCAGGAGAATGGTAAGTTGGAAGCTAGCCTGACCTTCAGAGAGAGTTCCAGGGCTATATAGTGAGACCTTGTCTCAAATAACAACAACAAAATGCTGACTTTTCTCTATAGTATGAGAGACTTAAAAGTATAAATACTCAGAGAATTTCTCTCAAAGAGAAGAATGTTTCAAAAAATGTAGAGCTGGGCTGTAGTTCAGAAACCTGATTTAGAATGTGGTAGAGAAATAGTGCTATTTTACATTAGAAACTTAATTCTAAATATTTTCTTTTCGATACACTGAAACCATGAAACATTGACTAAAATCAATAAAGCAAACATTGTTTTGTGTTGTATAATTTTAGTGAGATTTTCTATATAGGATATCATTACATAAAGGAAAATAAATGAAAACTTGAAAGACGCTGGGTATTTTAGTGAATTTTGAATCGTTATAATATTGCTCAAATGGAAAATAGACCAGAAGTTAACGTTGTTGTTTAGATTGTCTATGTAGTCTCCTTTCGATATAATTTTTTCATTTATGTATAGATATTGTTGCTTCTTGAATATTAAACATGGCAATGTAATGTTTCCAACATTTGCTCTAGGGGAATGTTTTGACCTGATGATTATTTTTCTGGAAGATAGAGTTATCATTTTTTAGATGTTTTATCTGTTTATAGAACTATCAAATCTGATATGTTTTTCTCTTCTTATTTCCTAAATTAAGGAAAGATGAAGCTACATTTGAAGGAAAGATGAAGCTACACTTCAAATGTAAAAGTCCCTTTTACTAAGAGGAACTTTTAAAAAATATTACAAGGTATAAGATCCGTTATTTAAAGTCCTTAAGATCATTTTTGCATAAAATGTATTACCCTTCACACTTAGAGATAAATGTATGCATGAAAGAATGCAATCATATTTTACAGAAATGCATTGGATGTGTTAATATAAAAAGACACATGAAACTTACCGGCCAGATCGTTTTGCATTTCTAGAAGTTTCCTCAGCAAATCCTTCTGCTGGCCTCACAGTAACTCCAATTGCAGAGCCCAGAATGAGTTTCCCTTCATATGTTGTGGGAGGTCTTATGAAAGCAGGCCCCAGAGCACATTCCTGTTTAGGACGCACAGCATGTCTTCTTGGAGGACTCACGGTACAGCGCCTACCTTTTCTCTCAACACATCCTCTTCCCAGACTCAAAGCACGTTCCCTACTATGTCTCTTAGCAGGTGCTTTTGCAGGACTCACAGCACGGCCTCTTGGAGGACTGAGAGCATAGCCTCTTGGAGGACTGACAGTACGGCCTCTTAAAGGAATCACAACTCGGCCTCTTGGAGGACTCACAGCACGGCCTCTTGAAGGATTCATGGCTTGGACTCTTGGAGGACTCACAGCGTAGCCTCTTGAAGGATTCACAGCACGGCCTCTTGGAGGACTCACAGCACGGCCTCTTGAAGGATTCACAGCACGGCCTTTTGAAGGATTCACAGTACGACCTTTTGAAGGACTCACAGCAGGAAGTTTTGAAGGACTCACAGATCGGCTCCTTACAAAGCGCACATCATAGCTTCTTGCTGGATTCACAGCAACTCCTCTTGTAGGACTCAGAGGATGTCCCCTAGCCTGTCTCTCAGCCCGTCCTTTTCCAGGATTTATAGAAAGGCCTAGTTCAGATTTCACAGCTTGTCCTCCTCCAGGTGCTGCTGCAGATCCCTTTGCTGGTCTCCAGATTGGTTTATCAGATCTTTTAGGCGTTTTCTCTATAGGTCCTCCCAAAGCTCCACCTTCGGTTTTCAGAGCACCACTGTACTTGTCAAGCAGCTGTAGAAAGAGAGAAACAAAAGATTGGCTGTAAGAATATTGAAATTTGAAATGGTAGTAAACATGTTCTGATCAGCAAAGTCTCTTGAGTAAAATGAAAGGTCACACTTCAGACTGTTAAATTATTTCAGAGATTATTTTCACAATTCGCTTCCAACAAAGTTCAAAAGTGAAGAACACTGAGGTATATTCATGCACATCTCCATTCTTCCTGTGAAGAAACCATATTAGGAAGAGCTGTTAGCTGTTTGGTACTTATTCTACCACATGTTTGGAAAAATTCAAAATATAAAATCAGTTAAGTCACAAGTATTTAAAAACAACTCTTTTCAAAATAGTTGTTAAATAATGATATGTGTGTACACACACACACACACACACACTCAAATGAGAAACAGGAAAGAAAAATTTGAAAATGCTTGTAGATATTTCCAGTGATGAGCTCAGGTGAATTTAAGACCCTTGGAGAAATTTTGACTTTTGGACCATGTGCATAGCTTATTCTTTCAAAGAAAAACATTAAAATATTGAAAAAGAAAGCCCAAAGCTGAATACAAACAGAATCAAGCAAACCTAGTTGTATATAAAATTATTTACAGTAGCATATGTAAATAATGAAAAAGGGGATATTGATCAAGTTATATGATATTAAATTTATTATTATTAAAATAATAAAATTGGAAAGAATTTCATGCATCTGTATATGCATATGCATGCAAAAATAATTCCAAATACCAACAAAGAACATGGAAAAAGCTGTTAAGCTGAATACAAGCAGAAACAAGCAAATCTAGTTGTTATTAAAACCATCATTCTTAAATAACAATTGAAGTAATTTTTGATAGTTGTACTCTATGCATCCATAATTGGATATGTGTATTTTCTGAAGAGAAAAAGATTGTGATATAGTTTGATTTTCTGAATTGGATTATTGCTAGGGGTGCTATTTCCATTTGCATACTGAAACTAATGTTTATAATAGGCTATATAATTTCATACATATTATATGAGTAAATGTTGATAATTTTGTGAACTAGCTGTCAACAGAAAAAATATGTATGGAGGACATGAAGAAGAGCCTGATGATATTGAATTTGAATGAGAGACTTAGATAAAACAGTTAAAATTTCCCTTCTTAGCATATCTAAGCATATCATAAATACTTTTTATACAATGCATATCCAATTACCTGGGTCAGATAAAAGCCCTCGTTGAAGTATTTGACAATTAGCATCAGTTAGTTGTACAAGGGGGGTTCATTTGAGCATGCTCATATATGTATACCATGTACCTTGATTAGAGACACCTGCTCCCACTTTCCCATGAGCTCTTTTCCCAAATTGATATCAACAAACTTCATTGTTCCATTTTTGCACGTGGAATAAAATATTTTGACCCATATTCATGTTCCTTCACCTTCTCTGTTCACCCTTATTCCTTCCACCAGTACCCTGTCCCAGACATGGCCTTTTATACAATCTATCATTCATTTTGTAAGCATAGGTTAATTGTTCAAATAAGTTGCACTGTGATATTTCATTAATAAATTCATTAAATTTAATTATTTGAAAGTTTTAGTGATATACATTATATTCAGGAAAAAGAAAGGCACATACAGCACCAGCATTAACTTAAAGGATTTTACACTTGTTACTTTTTTTTTGTCCGTCATGGGGTTTGAACTCTGGGGCTGAGCGCTCTCCCTCAGCTCTTCAGCTCAAGGCGAGTGCTCTACCACTTGTGCTACAGCACCACTTCCAGTTTTCTGGTGGTTTATTGGAGATAAGAGTTTCAAGGACTTTTCTACCCGGGCTGGCTTTGAACCGAGATCCTCAGATCTCAGCCTCCTGAGATCTGAGCCACTCGAGCCCAGCCTACACTTGTTACTTCTGATAGTTTAAAGACATAGACTTATCTATATAAATTTAAACATCCATTTTAAGAATATCACACTTGATACACAACTTTGAGAAATATGTTACAAGCAGGCATTTTTCTGCAAAGATCATATTAGTCATGTAAAGAGTATGATTCATTATTTTAATTAACTACCTAATTTGAAAACTTAACAACTGTTACTTAGTCACACAGTAGTTAACCAAATACTTGCTTAACTATGGAGACCAATTTCTTTACATGCATTTAAATAATTGATATAAACATAATCTTGGATTATAATTTTACTGTATGTTCACCATGGGTCCAGTATGAGAAAAAATATTTTTTTCAAGAATTATAATGTATCAGAAAAATATTACTATTTTACTAGGATAACTTGTATTCACTGAATGGTACACAGTAAAACCCCATAAAAAACTTAGCATGAATTTAACAGATAAAAAAGCAAAATGCTGAGAATATGGGACATTAGAGTACTTTTGAAATTGAAGAAAATACATGGAACATAGTGTATTATTTGAGTGTAAATGTTGATGAAGCATTTGAGGTATATGAGCAACTAGATAACAATATTCTACTTGTTCATGTGCAGAAAGTGTTTGAATGGGTAAGAATACAGTGGTTCAGCAGTAGATGGCAATACTATCAAATATAAACTTTATTTCACCTCCATTTCTTGGCATTAGGGCAAGATATGAATATAAGCTTTGTCTACCTGAACTTACAAATAGGAAATCCGTGTAACAAAAGAGAGAATATATTCAGAAGGGAGAAAGTGATGAAGAGCTCTGGGGACCATAAAAGAAGGACAAGGCTTACAAATTAAATTGGGAAGCAGTATGCAACTCTAGGCTTGGCTTGCCAGGATTGAGGAAGCTGAAGCCTCTACTAAGTGACAGGTAAGTTAGCTTCAGGGAAAGCCTACACCTCTCTCAAGTCCAAAACCCAGCAAGGAGATTTAATGGAACAATGACAGTTGTGACAGTTTAACATCGGACAAGAAAGGCACTTTTTCTGCTCCCCTCACTATAGTGAGGCATCATCTTGGGAAAAAGCCTATTGTCTGAGACTGAGATATTCAGGTAAGAGTGTTTGAAATAAGAAGTTTAGCAGCTGGAAATTTATGTAGAGTGCTCCAGCTGCAAGAACTGCTGGCTGGCTGTGAGTCTTCCTGTCAGAAGTGGAGACTGAGCAATGACAGTTCAAGGAGATGTCGGATACTAGACCACAGTGTTTGGAAGAAAACTGGTCTGGAGAGGTAGTTATGGAGACGGAGAAGATCTGACATGTACATATTGAGAAGTTTAAGCAGATTAGAGCTAACACAGGGAAGGCAACCCAACTCTCCTTGGTAAGAGTAAGTTTCATGAATTGAAGATCATAGTGGAAATGCAGCACCAAACCTGTGTTTGGCAGAATGCTCTAGCTTCAGTAACTGCAGTATTTGCCTCCAGGTAGAATTTGGCACCGAAACACACTGGAGACTTGAAAACCAAGGAATAATTGTAGTATGGAAATTTTTGGAACACCCTGACATAGTGTCTGGGTGGGAGACAGCCATAGGAGATGGACATGGAGAGGGAAAGTTTCTGATGTAAGTCGGCTAGTAAGTCTAGATACTGATGGTATTGAAGGATGGTGTTGAAGGATGTGGTGGTCAGTGGCCCTGCCCTTCCTGGCTACAACCATATTCCATTGTCTTAGGATCACTTTGAGAACATCATCAACACTATGGCTAGCAGAGGGCAGAGGCTCCAGGAGCTGCTTACTTGTTGTGGTAGTTGTTGAGAAGAAAGACTGAAAGCTCTGAGCACAAGATCCAGGGATCATGTGTTTTTCTTCAAGCTTCCTCCCCATCACAGCTTCATAAATGTTGGGGCAGGATTTGAAATCACTGAGACCAGAAGACTATCAATCCTTGAGTTCTCAATACTCAATTTGCTCCCTCCACTATCTGAGTACTCCCAGACTTACATGATTGCTGATTGGGGATGGGGGGGCACAAACTTGAGGGACTTTGTAGAATATGGGAAACTACCAGATCCACAGATTGCAAAGCTGCTTGTGGCTTGCAATGGCTTCCAGTACAAAAGAAGGTACACTTAGAAGGTGAAAGGTTCACAAACCAGAACAGCTCATCTTTGAATGGCCCTACCTTCAACATATACATAACAACCTCCCATATACTAGGAGCAACAAGAGACTAGTTAGTTCTCCCGTAGTTGAGTGGTGCTGGAGATAAGGGTGATACCCTGAAGATGTAATGGAAGCTGGGCATCAGTGGCTCACGCCTGTAATCCTAACTACTCAGGATACTGAGATATGAAGATCACGGTTCAAAGCCAGCCTGGACAGAAAAGTCTCTGAGACTCTTATCTCCAATACACCACCAGAAAACCGGAAGTGGCACTGTGGCTTAAGTGGTGGAGCGCTCGCCTTGAGCTGAAGAGCTAAGGGACAGCGCTCAGGCCCAGAGTTTAAGCCCCATGTCTGCCAAAAAAAAAATGTGGATGAAAATTTGGCTACTGAGCTAGCTTCTCTCCATCCAGTATTGAGAAAATGCACTCAAAAACCACAATCCTGCTTGAGCATTGAGAACACTTAAACCAAGTGACTGCAGGTGATGAATACTCCTAACCACTGATTTGGCCTCAGATATGCAAATCTCAGAAACACAGGAAATATAAAAAAATAAGGTAATATTGATTCTCCAACTGTCAGCATGTTCACAGTAAGGGACAGCAACAATACTGGACTAAATTTCAGGAAAAAAATCAAAAGTAAAAGTATGATCACCAACAGAAAAGAGTTCATAAAAATGCCTAAATGAACTGTAAGAGCATGTAAATGAATAGCAGAATGAAAATAGCATTCTTTATCTTTGATTATCATCAGTTTATCATGTTCCTAGATCCTGTTTAATTTGCATTTATATTGTTTGAAACTTTCTAGGTTTCATGATTTTTTTCTGAGTCAGTTTTGAGGGTTAAACTTCAAGAATAAGTGCTGTCCCTTAGTTTTTTTTTAATCAAAGCTAGTCCTCTACCACTTGAACCACAGCTCTACTTTTGGCTTCTTAGTGAGGTAAGAGTCTTGTGAAC